TCGTATAAACGATGCTCCACTGTATATAAAATATATTCTGTTCAAAATTAACCTATTTGTATTTGACGTATAGTCAAGCATTATCAAACATATTATATTAACATATATATTATACTAAACATAAAATAAAAAGTTTGATTAAATTATCGATTTTAATTTGTCTTTTTCTTTATAGAAAAAAAAATTATATTGGAAAAGATAACAATGCAATAAATGTTAAGAAAAACTTAACAGGCTTCATTAAAATTTAACTTATAATGTTGTTTCAACGCCGATAAGTTTTTTTTTCTTTTTTTTTTAAAAAAAACAAAAAAACAAATGCAGTATTTTTTTTACTGAAATTACAGTACACAAGTTATTTCATGCTTAACGGCACTGAATCCATACCAGTAAATCGAGACTGGGGAAGTAAATTAGTTTGGCTTCCTACGCAAAGGAAAGAAAAATACCCGAAAGCCTTAACAGCTGCAATAAGACTTTAAACAATTACTTGATGTCCAAGAGAAAAAAATAAACATTAAAAAAATAACAATCGCACAGAAGCATAAGACAAGCAGAGATTCAAGAAGATTTAACGGTCTCAGAGAGCGCGCTGGTAACGTTTACAGAAAATAAAAACAGTAAAAAAAAGTGAGATAAAAAAAAGTGGAGGAAAAAAGCGTCCTGTCCACGTGTTTAAAGCTGTTCCTGACTGCTACCATAACATACAAATGATTTCTTTGTTCTTTTTTGCGCAGCCATGTCAAAATTACCACACAAAGGCGGAACAGACTCTTCGAAACCCGTGCTGCACACCACTCAATCCAAATACGAACAGAAAACGCCAACATTTATGGAGTTGAAGTTCACACGTAGGAAGCTTTTGAACTGCTCTTAAAAATAATAAAAGTCCTCTTCTTTCCCTGCTGAACACAGAAATGGGAATAAAAAAAAATTGTAATTGAGAAATTGTGTATGTTATTTCTCATTCCCAGCCTGGGACCATCTGTGAATCAGCTAGTTCGTTTGATTATATATATTATCAAACAACACCAGGAAGAATTTCGTATGAAGCAAAGAAACAGATTTTCAAGACATTAGCATTTTTTTTTGGCATGGTATTTTATGAGATTCTAAGATACTTCAATTTAGAATAGAGTATTTTTTTCCGTTTTACGGCATTTTTGTACAATTTCGGAATTAATTTTTACACTTAAGAAGCTGTCCACAAATGATGTTGCGCTTTAGGGGGTTAGTGAAATAATAACATAAGGGAAGGAGGGTGTAACAAGAAATTTGACCAAACAGATTTTTTTTAGAATAAAAACATTTAAAATCAGAATATTAAAAATTATTATAAAGCTTATTACATTACTTTTCCTCACAAAAGTACACATGTAATCATTAATATTACTGTTATGCTTACAAATGTACATGTAATCATTAATATTATTGTTATGCTTACAAATGTAATGAAGATATTTCAGTATCGACATTTTTCACGCCAATTACAATTGACAAGGGCCAAATGGAATTTGAACTTGCACATTAAAATAAATAAAACTTAAGAGGTTTGCCTGGCGTGGGCTACTTGTTGTACTTTACAAGTTAGTCCCTCCTGTAATGTGTTTTTTTTTTTCCTTAGTTCCACACGGGCAGCTTCCCGAAAGTTATCAAGACTTCGCGATAATTCCGCGATCACGATACGGAAATCTTGGCAACGTAATTAAACTACATATTTAAAATTTGAAATATGATCCAACACAGCGTAGTGCTTTGTATCGGAATGAAAAACTGTTTAAATGAACATTTATTGGAAAATAGAATGATTTAACACATAATGTAATATGTAACAAGAAGAGTAGGGTGAAATGTGACATTATTAATGAACATCCCCTCGTGCATTACTATTTTATTTCATTCTAGTCTTTTAGTCCCACTTTCACCAATTTCAAACCTCAGGGATTTCGTTTACTACATAATTCTCGATTATTTTAAGTCTCGATTTCTTTTACTACATAAGTATGTATTAATTTAAAGAGGGGGGAGAGCTTCATTTTGGAATTTTTGTTAAATTATAAGAAATTATTTTGTATTTCAAGCAAGTTTTTAGGACCATTTTTATTCTATTTTTAAGATCATTTAAAAAAATATACGTATATTAAAAACATCAAAATTCCAGCTTTATTTATGAATTTTTTTTTACCTCTAATAAAAATTAACCATAAACTACTAAAAAAACTATAATAATAAATTACAAATTTAGAAAGAACAATATATCTTTTGAGCAGGAAATATTGTAAATTTTCCTGAGTAGGTCGTTTCTACTGTGCTGCAATTATATTGAACGCAATTCCAACAAAAAATATCTAGTATAAAAATAATTGGCATTATTTTTCATGTTTTATTTATTTTTAATGATTTATTTATTTTTAATGCTTCGATTATTATACTGGCTTGTTTTTAAGTCTGAAGATATATTGAAGATGAAATCGCGAGGAAGGGAAATCCAAAAGCTACGCCAATTCAAAATAAAACTAAGTGTTAAGAAATATTTCGTGAAAAAAAAAAAAAAATTTAAAAAACATCAAAAATAAGAAAATGAAAGAGATATTGTGAATAACATAAAAAAATTCCAGAGCAATGATTCATAAAAACTTTTATCTTATAACGATAAATGTTTAAGCTTAAGAATTCTAATCTTTGTATCAATAAAAAAATTCGTTGCTCAACTTAAGGTTGTGGTAAGCGAGCATTTCACCTTAAACAATACGTTTTTATATTAAAGATAAATAAATAAATAAAAAGTAGGAAGTAGAGGAGATAGGTTTAGCCCGTGCTGAAAATAGGTTTCGGGCTCGGGTGGATTCAGATTCCTGATAAAATGTTCATAAACTTTTTACTACTTATAACAAAGTATTGAGCACGAAAATTGTAAAATTTATAAGGTATAAAAATTTACTGTGATCTGCTACTTCTGTTCGATGCTTTTTCTTTGTGAGGCTAGAGCTAATTGTCAAATGACTTTTATTTAGATTAAGATTTTGATTTTCTTTTTCAACCAATAAAAATAAATTCATTTCCGCTTCAGAACTAATCTCTTCTGAAATAAATGAAAACATGAATAAAAAATTATGCGGTTTTTGCGACTCCTCAAAACATGAGAGTTCCGTATGTGAATATGCTAATAATTTATCCGTTGAAGAGAAAAAAGATATTTTGTTAAAGATAGATAGTAGATGCCAAGGTAAACATCAAACTGTCTTGTGCTTTTCCAAATTTGACCATGATATAAAAGATAAAAATAGTCCTAATTCTGAAGATAATGTACTAACGAATCAAACATCATCTGAAACTGTATATTTGCAAACATTGATTGTTCGTATACACAATAAAGGTAAAGAACACTTTGTCCGGGGAATTTATGATTCAGGCAGTCAAAAGAGTTACATTAGTAAATTTGTAGCTGAAAGAATGGGATTAGAAAAATTGGGTGAGGAAGAAATTACTCATGGACTTTTTGGAGGATCTCAATCAACAGAATTACATAATCGATTCACTTTGCAGTTAAGTAGTATCGATAGAAAATATAGTTGTGAGTTAGTTGCTATGGATCAAAAGAAAATCTGTACGAATATTCCCAGGGCTAATAATTTTGAGTTACTAAAAGATCTAGAGTCAAAGGGTATATTTTTGAGTGATATTTCCCCAAAAAGTAAGGAATGTTTACATGAAAGGAATTTGAAAGAAATACATTTACTATTGGGGGCCGACGTTGCAAGAAAGCTTATAACAGATCGTATAGAACATCTCTCTTGTGGATTAGTGGCAGTAAAGACCAATCTAGGGTGGACTATAATGGGAAAGTCAACCAATCACGATAAAATTGATAGTTCGCTTTTGGTTCTATCCCTTCATGTTAATGATGCAAAAATCACAGATTTATGGGATTTAGATACATTGGGAATTGTTGATCCTTGTGAAAAACGATCTAAAGAAGAATTACAGGATCTTGCCCTAAAACACTTTAAAGAAACTGTAACGATGGATCATGACGGGAGGTATAAAGTTTGCCTTCCATGGTTAGATGGACACATACCTCTTGCCGATAATAAATCCTTGACAGAAAAAAGATNCGATCTAGAGAAGAATTACAGGATCTTGCCCTAAAACACTTTAAAGAAACTGTAACGATGGATCATGACGGGAGGTATAAAGTTTGCCTTCCGTGGTTAGATGGACACATACCTCTTGCAGATAATAAATCCTTGACAGAAAAAAGATTAAAGAACACGATAAGATCTTTAAAATCAATTGACAAACTTAAAGATTATGAAAGGGTTTTTGATGAATGGGAACCTGAAGGGATTATTGAGAGAGTCGGCGAACCTGAAGCCTCTTCAACATCGAATGCTAGTTATTTACCACATAGGGCTGTATTTAAAGAACAATCTACTACGAAATGTAGACCCGTTTTTGACGGCTCAGCTCGCACTCGAAACTCTGTTTCCATTAATGACTGTATTGAAAAAGGCCCTAATTTAATTGAATTAATACCCTCAGTTTTGAATCGCTTCAGGGTTGGAAAAATAGGAGTCATCGCTGATATTCGGAAAGCATTTTTGCAAATATCATTAGATGAGCGGGACAGAGACTATTTGCGTTTCATATGGTGGAAAGAAGGAGATCATAGAAAAGAGATCATTTATCGTCATTGCATTGTTGTTTTTGGGATAAACTGTAGCCCGTTTCTTTTAGCTGCAACTCTAGACCATCACTTAGAACAAGCCCCTGCGCATCTTGAAGATCTAGCCACTAAACTAAAGAACTCGATGTATGTGGACAACTCCGTCACCAGTGTCGATTCTCCTCAAGAACTGGACTATTTTCGAAATGAATCTTGTAAACTACTCGCATCAGCGAAATTTGATCTTAGAGGATGGTGTAACAACAGCTATTCCACTAGCATTGCTGAAAAAGACGAATTTCCATTTGAAACTTTGAATATAAAAGAAGTACCTGTGCTAGGCTTGCTATGGAATACAGAAGAAGATACTTTAACTTGTGATTTAAGAAAATTGGAATTTAAGGATGAACCTGTAACGAAAAGAAGTATTCTCTCATTAGCTCACAAGCTTTTTGATCCAATTGGATTTACTGCACCATTAACCTTGATTCCGAAGATAATTTTACAAGAATGCTGGAAAATCAAAGTTTCATGGGACTGTAAGTTGCCTGATAATATTGTTAAAGAGTTTCATAAGTGGAAAAATCAACTTTTTGAACTGCAAAACGTGAAAATACCCCGAAGATTGAGTGAGTTCACACTCCATTCAGGAAGTTTATCTTTGCATGTTTTCTGCGATGCTTGCAAAAAATCCTATGCCACCTGTGTTTTCCTTAGAGTTAAAGTTGAGAGCGATGTAACCTGCCAGTTAGTCCAGGCTCGATCCCGAGTAGCTCCGTTAAAGAACATAACTATCCCTCGTCTAGAGCTTTTGGCATGTTGCATTGGAGCAAGGTTAGCAGAATCCGTCAAAAAAGATCTGAAACTCGAAGATGTAGAAACTCACTACTGGACCGACTCCATGGATACCTTATATTGGATTAGAACTGACGTACCATGGGGTACATTTGTGGAAAATAGAGTCAGAGAAATCCGAAGATTATCTTGCCCGAATTCATGGAAATTTGTTCCTGGAAATAAAAACATCGCTGACTTACCATCACGTGGTTGCTCAGCAAAAACTCTTCTGCAGTCTGAATGGTGGAATGGTCCTGATTTTCTAAAAGAACCTGAAGAAAGGTGGCCAAAGAGCGAAATATTGCCAAATATCGATACAATCAATGCAGAAAAAAGAAAGACTATAGTTACTGCTACTAACGTAAAGGAGAGTGAAAAATTTTACAACAAGTACTCATCTTATTTGAAATTGTTAAGAATAACCGGATGGATTTTTCGATTCGCTGAAAATTCAAAGAAAAGAGAAAATGACAGAACCATTGGAGAACTCAACAATAAAGAATTGAAAAATGCTGAGAAAATAATTCTGAAATGTGTCCAAAAGGATGCTTTTGCCAACGATGGGAATAAGAGACTGAATTCTTTGAAAACTATTATTGATGATGAAGGTCTGATCAGAATTAAAACTAAGGTATTGATGAGAGAAGATGATTTTAATTTCCGTCTTCCAATAGTTCTTCCCTCAGATTATACTGTGGTTAAAAACCTGATTTATTGGAAACATAAGCAATTAGGACACTGTGGAATTCAATTACTGATGTCTACATTACGTGAAGAATTTTGGATCTTGAAAAGTCGAAAAACTATAAGAAATGCCATAAAATCTTGTGTCATCTGCAAACGTTTTCATTCTAAACCTCCCAATGTACCAGATGGTCTTTTGCCAGCAGATAGAGTGAAGGATGCAGCCATCTTTGAAATTGTAGGTGCTGACCTGGCTGGTCCCCTCATTCTGAAAGATGGTCAAAAAACTTGGATCTTGATGGTGACTTGTGCTATATTTCGGGCTGTTCACTTAGAACTCTTGTCATCCCTCTCTACTGAAAACTTAATTTTGGGACTTCGAAGATTTATCTCACGAAGGGGAAGACCGTCAGTTGTCTACACAGATAATGGAACTAATTTCGTTGGAACCCAGAACCTTCTAAGAAGCATTGATTGGGAAAAGCTTAAGACTGAATCCAATCTGTCATCAATTACCTGGAATTTCATTCCCCCGTCTGCCCCTTGGTATGGGGGATTTTGGGAACGTTTAATTGGCATGATGAAGAGAATCCTAAGAAAGGTTCTGGGTAGAACATCATTGAATTACGAGGAAATGGTAACAGTTCTCTGTGACTGTGAGAGTGTAATGAATTCACGCCCCCTGACTTNATAAGAGACTGAATTCTTTGAAAACAATTATTGATGATGAAGGACTGATCAGAATTAAAACTAAGGTATTTATGAGAGAAGATGATTTTAATTTCCGTCTTCCAATAGTTCTTCCCTCAGATTATACTGTGGTTAAAAATCTGATTTATTGGAAACATAAGCAATTAGGACATTGTGGAATTCAATTACTGATGTCTACATTACGTGAAGAATTTTGGATCTTGAAAAGTCGAAAAACTATAAGAAATGCCATAAAATCTTGTGTCATCTGCAAACGTTTTCATTCTAAACCTCCCAATGTACCAGATGGTCTTTTGCCAGCAGATAGAGTGAAGGATGCAGCCATCTTTGAAATTGTAGGTGCTGACCTGGCTGGTCCCCTCATTCTGAAAGATGGTCAAAAAACTTGGATCTTGATGGTGACTTGTGCTATATTTCGGGCTGTTCACTTAGAACTCTTATCATCCCTCTCTACTGAAAACTTAATTTTGGGACTTAGAAGATTTATCTCACGAAGGGGAAGACCGTCAGTTGTCTGCACAGATAATGGAACTAATTTCGTTGGAACACAGAACCTTCTAAAAAGCATTGATTGGGAAAAGCTAAAGACTGAATCCAATCTGTCATCAATTACCTGGAATTTCATTCCCCTGTCTGCCCCTTGGTATGGGGGATTTTGGGAACGTTTAATTGGCATGATGAAGAGAATCCTAAGAAAGGTTCTGGGTAGAACATCGTTGAATTACGAGGAAATGGTAACAGTTCTCTGTGACTGTGAAAGTGTAATGAATTCACGCCCCCTGACTTATGTGTCCGATGATGCGGAGGAGTTATCACCAATAACACCTATGATGTTCCTACAAGAAATAAGACAGGTGGGTGTTGCAGATTTCGATATTTTAGATCAAGAAAAATTCAAAAAACGACTTGCATACAGAAATGAAATCTGTCAAAATCTTCGAAAGAGATTCAGAACGGAATATCTTGGTCAACTTCGAGAAACTTCTTCAAAGACCAAAACTTCAGGAGCTCTGCAAGTTGGGGACATTGTGATAATTTGGAATGACAATGCAAGCAGAATTCAGTGGCCTCTCGGGAGTATTTTAAAGATTTTGCCAAGTAAAGATGGACATGCCCGAACTGCTAAGTTGCAAACCAAATCTGGAATCATAATCCGTCCTTTGAAAAAACT